TTTGTCTGTTGTTTGTTTTATAGTATTTGGGATTCAACCTAAGACCACTGTATTCTAGGCAAGTGCTCTTAACACTAAATTTTATTTCCTTTTATATATATTTTGCTTTGTTTTTTTGGCTTTGTTTTTATTTTTATTTCTGAGACAGGGTTTCTCTGGGTGACCCTAACTGTCCTGCAACTCACATTGTAGACCAGATACAACCTGCCTCTGCTTCCCTGATGCTAGGATTAAAAGCATGTACCATCACCACCCAGCTTTATGTCTTTTGCTTTTTAATACAGGGACTCAGAGCTGGGCACTTTCTCTGTGAGCTCAAGGACTTTGTGGGCTACATTGTAAGTACTCAAAGCTTCTTTGTTTCTTTCTTTATTACTTTGTTTCTTTCTTTGTTACTTTGTTTCTTTCTTTGTTACTTTGTTTCTTTCTTTCGGGGCAGGGAGGCTGGAGAGATGACTCAGTGGTTAAGGGCACTCACTGGCTGCTCTTCCAGAGACCCAGGTCCAACTTAATGCCCACATGGCAGCTCGTACTTGTTTGCAGCTCCAGTTCCAGGGAATCCAATGTCCTTTTCTGGCCACAGGCACCAGGCACACATGTATACAGACATGCATGCAAGTGAACTACCACTACACATGAAATATAGTAATAATTTAAAAATTTAAAGACAGGGTCTCAGTTGTCCAGACTGGTCTTGAACTCACTCTTCAGTCCTGTAGCTCAAACTTGTGGTCCTGCCTCCAGAGTAGTTGGAATTATAGGCAGACCTGTGTCACTATGCCCAGCTAACTCTATTTTGAATATTTTCAATGTCAAAATATTGATGTTAGTGGAGCCAGGTATGGTGATGTACTATTATTCCCAGAACTTGAAAAGTTGAGACAAGAGATCATACGTTAGAAGCCAGCCTAGGCTACACATTGAGATCCAGTCTCAGAAATTAAGTGAAGTGAAAAGATTAGAAGGGATGGAAGGGGAGGGGAGAGGAAGAACAAAGAGAGTTAAGGAAAGGATAGTAGGGAAGGGGTTTGAAGGACAGAGAGGGGGAAAGAGATTTGAGCTATTGAAAAGAAGCTGTTTGTATTAGAATAACAGGAAAATGCCTTAAGGTTAAAACAGAAATTTATAGGATCTCACTAATCCCAGCCTTAAGAGTGTAAAAATTTGTTTTAAGAAAGCTGGGTGGTGAGATAGCATAGTAGGTAAGACTGCTTGCTTCTAAGCCTGCCAAATCTGAGTTTGATCCCTGGAAGGAAAAGGCCAATTCATACAAACTATTCCTTGACATCCACATGTGTGCCCCTGCCCCACATCATGCATATGAACACAAACAAATACAAACACAAATAAATATTTTTTTTAATTAAAAAAAAAAAAGACCTGGAAGCTGGGCATGGTGCTTAATGCCTTTGAGTCCAGCATTCGGGGAGGCAGGCAGATCTCTGTGAGTTCAAGGCCAGGCTGGTCTTTCTGTGTGGCAAAGGCTACACAAAAAAACTCTGTCTTGAAAAAAACAAAAACAAAGCAGAGAGAGAGTGCACACTATTTGGAGGTTACTGGGCAGCGGTAGTGCCTGTCTTTAATCCCAGCACTCAGGATGCAGAGGCAGGCATACTTTTGAGTTCCAAGGCTAGTTCTGAGTTCTGAGTTCCTGGTCTACTGAAAGAGTTCCAGGACAGCTAGGGCTACACAGAGAACCTCTCTCAGAGAGAGAGAGAGACAGACAGACAGACAGACACGCACAGAGACACAGAGAGACAGAGACAGGGGAAAACTGCTGAGGAAATGAGTCATATGGCACAGTGCTTGCCACAGCAGCAAAAGGATCTGATTTTCATCTGCAGCATCCATGTAAAAAAAGCCAGCCACAGTGGCTCATGGCTGTAATCACAGCACTGAGGCAGAGACAGAAGGATCCCTAGGAACTGATGGATAGGTTGAATGAGAGACCCCCTACCCCAAAATAAGATGGAGAGCTATTGGGTAAGATACATGACATCAGCCTCTGGCCTCTACATACATGTACACACACACACACACACACACACACACACACACACACATTCACGAGCCCTGAGGCCCACTTTGCACATGTCCAAGGAAATGTATTCCTACCCTCTGCCATCTTGGCACTAAAAGACAGGGGCTGCCGTGGTCCAAGCCTCTCACCCTTGACAGCAGAAGTTGGCCACTCTCCTCATGATGCTGATTAATTAGGGTTTGGTTTAGTTTGGGGTTTTTTGAGACAGGGTCTCCTTTGTTCCTCAAGTTTGCTTTGTAACTCAGGTTTCCTTTGAATTATTAATCTTCCTGCCATTACCTCCTACAAGTGCATGTTTAAAGGCACGTGCCATCACACTTGCTTTCTATCCAAATTTCAAAAGATGCCAGGACCCCTAACAGGCAACCCTTGAGAGGGCAACAGTAAAGCTGTGAGGGTGAAGCTGAAAAGTCTATGGAGACCCCAGGAAGTTAAAAACGTCAGGGAAATGGAAACATCTGTTGAACAAAAGCTTCAGGTGGCCAGCAAGACCAGCCAAAGAAAGCAGTCATGTGGGCTCCAACAGAAGGGCCACAGGGGCAGGGCGTTCCAGACCAACATAACAGTATGATACCATATGACCTAGTCACTAGACATGAAGCTACAGAATGTAATATTCACCCTACTGGGTTTTCAGCCTTGCTTTGGTCCTATTCCTCCTTTCTTTATCTTCATTCATCCTTTGTGGAATGAGAATGTACTACTGCTTTGGAATTCTGTAACTTTTTTATTTTAAAAATTACATTAATTAACTGTGTGTGTGTGTGTGTGTGTGTGTGTGTTGGGACTTCTGTAACCTTGGCTAGGAAATTCTGTGAAGGACTCCTAACTTTTGCACTTATTTCTTCTCTAGGTGGCTGAGAACAACTGATTGTAAATCTGGCAGGAGGTAGGCATTTCATTTGTATTAGCTAACAATTGTCATGCAAGATTTTTATTTTCATTCTAGAGGGTGAAAAACAGGCTCTGGATGGCTAGGTGACTTGCCAAAGAAGCATGGGTCAGTATGTGAATGCTAAAAGCTCAACTTTGCCAAGACACAGCCAATCTCTACCTGAACATGGAAAATGTGTGTGTGTGTGTGTGCGCTGAGATCAAGGGTAGCCTAGCTTAGTCCAAGGAAGAAACCAAAACATGCTGAGTGGACCCCACATCTGGGCTCTTCAAACACTCAGGTCCAATTCATAGAAAGGCACCAATGCTGCTCTTGCTAGTTATCTTCCCTGGGGAGCCTTTCAGTGTACTTTACCAGGAAGAAAGCAAACTCATTGATCCAAGAAGTGTAGGGTCATCTAAACCATTCCCTTTTTAGAGATCTTTGTGGATTCTAACAAAACTATTAACTGAACACTGACTGTGTCCTGGGGACCCTGCTGACTCTAAGAGCTATTGCTCTGCCCCATTAATTCCTCCCATGGTAGGCTGACACCCATGGTGCTAGAAACAGGTCCATTTTACAGGGAAGCAGCTTGGGGCAGTGGAAATAGTTTGGGGCTACAAGTCAAGAAAACCTCATCTTGACTTGCTGTGTGGCCTCTTTCCTTTATAAACGAAAGATGGTTATTAGTTATTTTATATCCTAAGTATATACACAGAGCTCAGATAAAGTACCTAGACCTGGGCCTTTCTGGCCCAAGTTACCTACCTGCCCTCAAGAATGAAAATATGGCCAGCTGTTGCATGGAGGGCCAGAAGCAGGGGTTTCAAGGCAAAACTAGGCCAGTCACCAAAAGAGTGAGAGCAGTGGCCCACACATGTTCCACATATCCAACCTCTACAAAGAGTAAGGTAAGAGAACTAACTTGTTGGATACCTACTCCACCCTAGCTGCTTGGCATTTATTACTTCATATAATCATCACAATTCCATGTAACTGTTTAACTAGCCTGGCAGAAATGAAGATCTTCTTCTTCTTCTTCTTCTTCTTCTTCTTCTTCTTCTTCTTCTTCTTCTTCTT